CACTTAAGAGACTGAGGTGTCCACTTTAGAGACTGAGGTGTCCACTTTAGAGACTGAGGTGTTTACTTTAGAGACTGAGGTGTCTACTTTACAGACAGAGGTGCCCACTTTAGAGACTGAGTTTTCCACGTTAGAGACTGAGATGTCCATTTTAGAGACTGAGGTGTCCACTTTAGAGACTGAGGTGTACACTTAAGAGACTGAGGAGCCCACTTTAGAGAGGTGTCTACTTTAGAGGTGTCTACTTTAGGGACTGAGATGTCCACTGTAGAGACTGAGGTGTCCACTTTAGAGACTGAGGTGTCTACTTTAGAGACTGAGGTGTCTACTTTAGAGACTGAGGTGTCCACTTTAGAGACTGAGGTGTCCACTTTAGAGACTGAGGTGTCCATTTTAAAGACTGAGGTGTCCACGTTAGAGACTGAGTGTTCCACTTTAGAGCTGAGGTGTCCACTTAAGAGACTGAAGTGTCCACTTTAGAGACTGAGATACCCACTTTAGAGACTGTGTCCACTTTAGAGATTGAGTTGTCCACTTTAGAGACAGATGTCCATTTTAGAGACTGAGGTGTCCACTTTAGAGATTGAGGTGTCCATTTTTAGAGACTGGGGTGTCCACTTTAGAGACTGAGTTGTCCACTTTAGAGACAGAGGTGCCCACTTAAGAGATTGAGGTGTCCACTTTAGAGATTGAGATGTCCACTTTAGAGACTGAGTTTTCCATTTTAGAGACTGAGGTGTCCACTTTAGAGACTGAGGTGTCCACTTTGGAGACTGAGATGTTCACTTTGGAGACTGAGGTGTCCACTTTAGAGACTGAGATTTCCATTTTAGAGACTGAGGTGTTCACTTAAGAGACTGAGGTGTCCACTTTAGAGACTGAGGTGTCCTTTTTAGAGGCTGAGGTGTCTACTTTATAGACTGAGGTGCCCACTTCAGAGACTGAGGTGTCCTTTTTAGAGGCTGAGGTGCCCACTTTATAGACTGAGGTGTCCACTTTAGAGACTGAGGTGTCCTTTTTAGAGGCTGAGGTGCCCACTTTATAGACTGAGTTGTCCACTTTAGAGACTGAGGTGTCCTTTTTAGAGGCTGAGGTGTCCACTTTAGAGACTGAGGTGTCCACTTTAGAGACTGAGGTGTCCACTTTAGAGACTGAGGTGTCCACTTTAGAGGCTCAGGTGTCCACTTTAGAGACTGAGATGTCCATTTTAGAGACTGAGGTGTCCACTTTAGAGACTGAGGTGTACACTTAAGAGACTGAGGTGCCCACTTTAGAGAGGTGTCTACTTTAGGGACTGAGGTGTCCACATAAGAGACTGAGGTGTCTAGTTTAGAGTCTGAGGTGTCTACTTTAGAGTCTGAGATGTCTACTGTAGAGTCTGAGGTGTCTTTTGTGGACAGAGGCGTCCACTTCAGAGATACATGTATGTCTGTTTAAGATAGCAAGGTATCCACCTTAGTGAAGAGTTTTTCCCTTAACATAATTTATGTCTGTTTCAGAGACCAAGGTATCTTTTTAAGTGTGGGGCCTGCCTTAGGGACTGAGATATTCATTTAAGAGAGGTGTCCACTTTAGAGGCTGACTGTAACTGTTAACTTTGAGATCTCTTCTGGTTAAACAAAGCATTGACATTTGTAAACTTTCCTTTATTGCAGGAATAGGCAGTAGCTTGTATGATAAAAGTCACACTTACCATTGGTCAGTGAATAATTCAAGGTGTTAAAAAAATAGAAAAGTATAGAGTGTAAGAAAGCAAAGGTTCACTGGGAAACCTCTTATCTTTTGCCAGCGACTGCCAAACAAATGGTACAGCTTTGACTTATCCTAGACAGCTGAATAAAAAGAACTCTTAAGACTCGCGTGCAGGGCTGGAATTAAAGGCTGGTCATCACACAATGTTCAGCCTGATTGGGGATTTGATCAGTCAAACTTTCGTCTTGCTGTTAATTTCCAGTCCTGCATGCATATAATGTTAGTCTCATCTGAAGTAATCTTTTCACAGACACCTGCAGCAAAAGACTGCAGTGTAAGATGAAATAATCATAACTTATGATCTCACTGGTATTTGCAGTTATTTTACTTCAGATTGAGACCGGAGTCTCTTTATTCAGTGGTCAAGTAGAACTGGAAACTGTGTCCACTCACTTTAATAAAGGACCAGGGGCACAGTTGACATGCATTTTGTTTTTCCAGAAAATATCTAGTTATACTCCTCCCACAGAGAGTTTTGGGTTTGACCTCCCCCCTCCCCCACTTCCCCCTTGGAATTTCCAATAACCCTCCTTAGGGTAGGTTTGGATATTTTCTGAGACCACACTTTTGAAAGAGTGAAAATGGGGAAAATAGTATTTTTTTTTAAAAGAAGCACATGTAGAATGTACAGAAGGAGTATTTCAGATGAAATCAAAAAGAAAAAAGTGTAAATTAAGGTGGCTGAACACAATTTTTGATACCTGTGTTTCGTTCACCTTTTTCTCTCAAACCCTTGATCCCTCGGTCACCAAAATTGGCAGCAAGCAAGTTAACAACACAAACTTTGGTTTTTTGATAGTTTAGCTGACGTATGTGCCATTGCCATGGCAATATGGATAAATATAAACGGGCCTTTAAAATCGCTTTAGTTGATTTTGTAGAAAATCTAGTCATTAGATTTTCTTTATAATTTGCATGCAGCAAGCTTGTAACAATACTTACAAGTTAACCCCATTTTGATAATAATTTAACAGAGAGATCTTTAATTATTCCTTGTTGAAGGGTCACTGGAATATCCAGAATTTCCTTCGTTAAAGTTCAATTTTTTTCAATACTCCAGTTACTTATTTCCTAAAGTATTTTTGTGCCAAATTTCGTGAAATTCTAATGAGTGGTTCTCGAGAAAAAGGCGTTTTTCCGAGAAGACAATTTTTCATTCAATCCCAATTTTTTGACTTATTACGCATGCGCTGCATTTAACTGGGTTCTTTTGGTAACAATGAAAAAGCTGAGAATTGCTGGGTTCTTTGCATTGTTACCTTTTGTAACATATCTTTGCAATAAAAGATTAAGATGATCAATACACTGCGTTCAATTATAGAGAAAAGTAACACAGATAATGTGGGCATTGGGCAAATAAAGTGATCGCTCTATTGACAGCATGTTTGTTTTTTGCAATCCTTGTGCACGCGCTGAATTGCATCAACAAAAGCGCGTGCGAAAACTGTGTTCGGCCACCTTAAGTAAAAGTCATTTTATCAGTGTACTACTTACAAGTAATACTAGACTTTTAAAGTTATGATTTGATGTAATGCGGTGAATCATTGGCAGATGAGGTGCATCCAAAGGGAAAAGATCAATAAGATAACCAGTGAAAGGTATTGAATTAATGGCATAGCATATAGACTTCTGTCCGTTATAGTTAGTTAGAGTTACCTGTTTGGTGAATAACTTTCATTCAGGATAAATTTGTATCATAGGATGTAGTTTTGAATAGAATTTAAAGCAGCACATGTATATAATTTTGCTTCCTTAATTTTACCTGAGCCTTGGAGCAAAATAAGATGTTTAATAAACAGACACAGTTAAAGCGCTTGTATAAGTTATGAAATGCCAACTGGCTGTATCACACAATTTTTCAGTACCACTTCCCTATCTTTCCTATGGTGTTGAATAGGCCATTCTCAATATTATTATTATATTAAAATCCTAACTTGGCTCCGACGCTTGGGGGAATAAAACAAAACAAATTCACTTAATTCATCCCTCAACCTCAATATGATTTGTTTTGTTTATTCCCCCAAGCCTCAGAGCCAGGTTAGAATTTTGATATATCAAAAATGGCCTATTATAGCAATCTAGTGAGCTCTTAATAAGTGTGTGCAGAGTTAATCATTATGATTAAAATGGTCTTCTACTCCTAATATAAGAGTGCAGAGTCAAACATTATGATTAAAAAGGTCTTCATGGCATTGCATAATTTTCCAAGTCTTTTGGGCTGCAAATATTTAACATCTAAGTAGCTGTTCTGTGCCTTAAAAGTGATATGATGAGATATCTAACAGCTTCATTTGTATATGTTGAAATGTTTCCTAGTAAAAAAGATATTTTAAGATGTAACTCAAGTTTTATTATAAAGGTTCATTTCTGGAGAAAACTGCTGTTAAGGTAAAATGGATCGAACAACTGAGCGTGGGAAGTAAGATATAATTTGCATGGAAGTCATACAGGTCGGCCATGGATCATTAACCAGTAAACAAAAAGCTTCTCGAGCAGTTTGTTTATGTGGATTAATTTAAATTGCTGCTACGTGACTTTGCCCACATAACTTATCGTGTTTGTGAAAGTAAGTGGAAGATAATTATTTACGTTGACAATGAAAATTCCTGTGGGAACAGAGATTTATAAGTCCTTATAGTGAATAAGTTTAATAATTAAGAAGAACCCTTGTCTTAGGATTATGGCAAACCGCAAAGCTTAAAACAGAGGGTTTTTTGGTGTTAATATGGGTATTGTATTATCAAGATCTCTGTGGAAAAAAGTAATTAGCAAGTGAGGACAAAAACTACAAGGTCATCTAAATGTTCTTTAGCAAAGTTTATTTTAAGTTTTGGCTTTGCATTGTAAATAGAATCCTTTACAGCCATGGCTACACAATCCTCTCTAATGCTACAAAAGAGACTAGTATGTTATTTATATTAGCAAGACCTCTGTGAAAAAGCAATCTTATGACAATAAAGGGAAAAAATTGTCTAAATGTAAACTTGCTCTGAGTGATGTTCCTGTCTTTGTTGTGACAAACAAACAGTTTAAAATTAACATAATTATAGATATGGAAATATTTTTAGTGGCATTTGCCATAAGTCACAAGATAAAGAAAATAGGATCCCTAAGTGTTATGTTGACCGCTGTTTGATTGAGAGTGTTCAGAATTAAACACTGTACTAAAGGGCAATTGGATGTCCTCATACAGCACTTGAGTTGTACCCTTTTGTGAATTTGTTTTTCATTGAGTCAGACATAGGTCTGGCATTAATTTCAAGAATTGTTTCTATAAACTAGCAAAATAATTATGATCCTAGCTACCAATAATTCATATTTTAAAGCATATATTTTACTCTCAGGACATCAAATTTGAAAAAATGGATTGTAAATTTATGGTGGTGAACTGCTTGAATTATGTAAATTTTATGTTCACTTGACTTTTTGCCAAGGTTTGTTTGCTCAGTTGTCCGATCATTCAGTGTGAAAACAAAACACTTATAATAATCACACTCTTTGTTTTCGCTAGTTGGTGCATGATGTCTCCATAAAGGCAAGAATTAAGTAATTACTTCACGCTTTGCTAATTGCCAAGCACCCTTTACATACTTGAAGGTGGCAAAGTCATTATTACACAAAGTGACTGAGAATAAAAGGATGGCGATATTTTTCAAAACAACACTGTTATGGAAATCAAGGCTGCATGATCAGGTCACGTAAACGTAAAAACAAGGCTTATTGATAATTAACCCCCTCTGTTCTTGGTAGTATTTCTTGGTTATATTTTTCACTTTCTTTAAATTCCATTTATAGCTAGCTTAAGGCAGACTATAAGAATTAAGCACCTCACCACATTAGAAGCCAAAAAAAGTAGACCAAAAGTGAAATTCTCTCTGCAAAACGTATAGGGCATAAATGGGAAGATAAGTAGAATTTGAAAACTGAATGAAGAACTTCAACCTGTTATCTGGGAATGAGTTAAAAAATAATAAAAAAATCAAAGAAAATATTTTGAAATGGGTGTGATCATTGAACTTTACAAGTTATTGATATGCATGCAAATCATTAGTTAAGGAAGAAGGTAGCTGATCAAGAGAAGATTTGTTTGCCTAATATTTCACAAAACAACCTATTTGTGTACAAAGTTCGTCTTACTAATTTATTGAAAAGTTGTCTCCACAATCATGTCACTGTGGATACTTAGCTAAATGTGTTCTTCCCTTCATACTCTAAAGACTTCATGTAATTTCATTAAAGCTACCCCTTGCATTGGGATTACTGCAAGAAGCTTTTCTGTAAGGATCTTTATGTATAAGTTTATGTCAATTACTATTGTAGCACAGCTTAAAGTTGTCCTTTTCACATATGCATGCCACGCTGAGCAAATATAATTATATAATGTAAATCGCTTGTTTGTGGTAAATACATGTTTTTATAATTTATTCATAATAGAAAGCAAAACAGAGTTTACACAATAAAAGTTATAGAAATACTGAATCGTGTTTTTATTTATATTTGGCTGAAAAGATTGATAAAACGCTTTAAAGTTGCATGTTTCTTCGCGTGCATGTTGTTTTTCAACTCTTGTCACGCCCTAGACATAACCCAACACTTTGGAATTAATTTTCTAGAAATAGCTTCTAGAACCTAATCCTCTGAGTAAGAATAGCACAGCTCTTGTTGTAAGGTCTATAGGTCACCTGGTCTGGCTAGTGTGTGGTGTTATGCAAGTAATTCATGCGGTGAAGCAGACAGGTGAAAATAATTAGTCAATAAATAAAATCATAAACTTAAGGATGTTCCCTTGATGAGTCACCAAATTCTCGCAAGTGACCTGTAAGAAATGTATGCCAATTAGGAAGGAGAATTCATTTCCACATGCATGATTTCTTTTCACAGCTGGCTGTAATTCACTCATTGACAAGTTTTCAAGGCCTTTATAAAGGCTTATAATATGTGTCATTTTGTTGAGGTCTTGAGCCAGGGACTTTGTGCTTTCAATGTATCTCTCTCCACTTCAAAGGCATTAAGTCAAATTAATAATAAATCTATTGGTTCTTGCAGTTTTGAGGGGGAACCTGACTAAAACACTGGGATAATTGCAATGGACTGGCATGTCATTGAGTAGGGGTGACTTCATGTTATAGAGCTTTAATATGTTGCATCCAAGAGCCATTTGGCCCTTCCAAGCCCATTTGAGATTGGAATAGCAAGTCTGCAAATAACGGTCGGTCATCGGACAATTGTCCGGTAAATTTGAGGTTTTGACAGGTAAAAGCTTAGCCTGGTCGGACACTCTGACCGGGCATTTCTGCTAAAATAAAAAATATTTTAACTTAAAATTTGTGGCCGAATATGGGACAAGTTATTTTGCTATACTGTCACACAATACTACGCAAAACAGCTTTGTTATCGGTTTTGTTTTTATTCCAATTCTAAGAATTTTATCACGCGCAGTGCGTCGTCTCAAATGTTATAATTGTGTCGAATTGTAAACACATCACATCAGCGCCACTATCCCTACATGTTAATTTACGCATTTTGCGGTGGCGTTGTGAAAGATCATGAGGCCCCATTTAGTCTGAATTACGTTGATCTGAAAACTACTAAAAACTTAGGTCTTATGCAATTACTCGTTGTTTGTTGCTACCAAGTGTTGTGGAATTAATTTTCAGTCGTAATACTTTGACCCGATTATAATGGTATGGAAATTAAATACACGGCTCAAATACTCACGTTT